AATCTGACCCGTCACCCAGGACCGGTTTGCCTTGGGAGACCCTACCAGGGACATATAGCCCCTGACAACATAGCTCCTAGGATCGCTCGGGTAGTCAAACCCCTCCACCACAATAAGGTGGCGGTTCAAGGAGGGGCAGGCTGTATCCCATTTTGGAAATGAGCTCTTCAGTTAATACACTGCAGACTGTTTATATTTAGTGTTCTGTGAACAAAGACAGAGAACAGTGTTTACTTTGTGGCACTGAAGTCTATTAAAATGCCTTTCTTCTTCTTCATCTGTCTGCTTGGTGTTCACTACAGTTGGGACTGGGTTGAAACCTACAAAGTGCAGCTGAGTAATGACTCTGTGAACTGGGAAACCTGCATGAATGGAACAGAAGAAGCAGTAAGAACTACTTGTATTCTCTCTCTTTTGAGGAATGTACCAGCTGTGACTAGTGGACTTCGAACAGCGTAGGTGCCAAAGTGAACAAAAGGTTAGAGTGTCAAAAAAAAAGAAAGAAAACAAAACAAATGAAAAACCAGGAGCACAAAACTGAAATGTGGTCGACACATTAACAATTTTACTGACTCTAAAACACCATAACTACTGTATTTATTAGAAATACTTTTTCCATATGTCTGTTGCCAAAAGGTGCCTCCACTATGACAAAATCAAAACATGTATTCAAACTTAAATATCTCTAGATTAAGGCTGTAACATGCAGGTGGAAATACAAAGAAATAAAGTTAGCTTTAACCCTGCACCTCAACCTAAAGACCTTTTGTTTAACATCACGTCTGTGTGTTGGACAGTTTCCTGGAAAAGTCGGATCTCTTTTCCAAGGAACAGAAACCAAAAGTTCTTTTTTTATTTAAAGATCATCACCTCTGCCAAGTAGGTTATGTTTGATGTAAATCCAGTTCTCCAGCCATGCTAGCAGCCCTCTGAGGCTGTATGCACAGCTTTGAGCTAATGCTAACATCAGCATTCAAACATGCTTTCACCAACAATGCTAACAAGCCGGTGTTAGCAATGATTACCATGTTTACCATCTTAGTTTTGCAACATGTTAGTACAGCTCAGGTTGATATTTATGTCTGTCTGTTTTTTAATTTCCAGTAACTGTCCAAAAGTGGAGAAAGTAAAATCCTAATGTTACTGGGTTATTTCCAGCGCAGCTACTCTGGAGTTTAATAGAAATCAACATGTAGTGCATAAGTCAGAGTTAAAATCCTGCTGACCTATAGACCCACATGCAACTGTAATTTTCCCTTATTGAAAGAATAAATGTAACCTTAGCAGATGTATATGGTCTCCCTTTATTAGTTTTATACATAAATGTCATTTTTTTTCCCTTTTCCTGAAATCTTTAAATCTCTGTGACATCACACTGAATTGTGCAGATATTTGAAGGAAACCAGAATACAGAGACACCAGTTCTTGGACTCCTTCCTGTTCCCACTGTCGCCCGTTTCATCCGTATCAACCCGCAGACCTGGTACCCTAACGGCACCATCTGCCTCAGGGCTGAGATACTTGGCTGTCGTGTTGATGGTAGGCAAACATACTCCAGCATAAAGGCAGAGTCTGAGTAATAATGAATTGATTACACACTTTTATCATCAGAGACAAGATGTTCCCAGTGACTAGGTCAAAATGTATTAAAGTTTGGACATTTTTAAAGGCTTGGTGGTCTGTCGAGTTTATATGTTTATCTTCCTTATAGATTCAACTGACAGCTACTACTCAGAGCGAGAACCGGGATCAAAAGACACTCTGGACTTCAAACATCACAACTACAAAGAAATGAGAAGGGTTAGAGTGTGCATGTCTGAGAGGCCACACAAGCATGATGAGTAACTGTAGTTCCCCCAGAGCTAATGCCTGGGTCTTTACTCACAGTCTTAGCAGATTGCAGATTTTCTTAAAAGTGCACAGTCATCCCTTTGAAGACTTTCAGTTTAACTGATCTTCTCAAACCTAAAGCTCATGAAGTCTGTGACTGAGGAGTGCCCAGACATCACACGCATCTACACCATCGGGAAGAGCTACATGGGCCTCAAACTCTACGTCATGGAGATCTCAGATAATCCCGGCAAACATGAACTAGGTGCGAGCACATGTTGAGATGAAACCTCAAGTCCAGGACTTTCTGGACCAGAGTTCATCATGTTTCTTAAGTTACCCTGACTTTAGCTGCTCAGGGGCCCAAGTTTACCTTCCTCCAGTGTTTACACAGCCTGGTTTGTGCAGCAGCACCACACAGTCTTGCAGAGAAGGCCCCTCTTATATAAACAACCTAATAACAGTTTGAAACTTGAGGCTGCACACTCACCACCAAACAAGACATTTCTTTGTGATGTTGTCTTCAGATGCTAGGGGTTTTTTTGGCCACTGTACGCCTGCCAAAAAGTTTACATAATTTAAGTGGAGTACAGCTTGTCTTTCTTCTCATACACACATTCTGAAACTGCTAAGTCTAAAATGAGAATAATGGGAATTTAGGTTATCAAAGTGTCAACGTCTGACAAGAATTTCAGTGGATTTATGGCTACTAAGTGGTTATTGTTGCCAAATCAGGAGTGGCAAAGTGCTGTGGTCATACTCTACACTGTTGCCTAACAAATACAAATGGTTTAAAGGTTTATCTGAGAGGTTTAATGTGTTTCTGATGTGTCTCTGGGCTTTAACTTTGACCTACATTATAACATCAAACTTAAATGTTTTAATGTTTAGTGTGACATTACTGTAAGCTCATGTTACTGTATGTCTTTGTGTTCATTCAGGCAAATTCCTTCAAACTTATTGCTTGGCAAGTTACTCTAAATGTTACCCTTGGCAGGTGAGCCAGAGTTTCGCTACGTGGCAGGGATGCATGGGAACGAGGCCCTTGGCCGAGAGCTCACCCTAAACCTCATGCAGTACTTGTGCAGGGAATACAAGAAGGGCAATCAACGAATTGTCCGGCTGGTCACTGAGACACGAATCCACCTCCTGCCATCCATGAACCCTGATGGATATGAAGTAGCTTATGAGAAGGTAAGTAATGCTTCAAATGATTGGATGTAGTGTTGGTAGTTTCTTCTGGTTGTCCAAGGTGTTTAAGAGGAGTGGGATTGGCTCCAGTCCCCCTGTAAACCTATTCAGGAATAAGCGGCATAGATAATGGATGGATATAGAATGGCAATGGATGAAAAATTAAAACTACAATGAAAGAGAGCAGAACTTTGTACTGTAAAGCTCCACAGGATCTGATTCACAAATATTTGGTGCACACACTGGGCCAAGTTGCAAAACTCTGACAATGCTGCCTGGAGGAATGGAGGAGTGTGGTGGAGCATGTAAAATTCCAGTGCAAATTGTGCCTTTTCTTCCTGGGTTTGACCTGTTGCAGCTGGTGGGACATTCATTCCTAAATCACCGGAAATCACCGGACATTAGTCCAATACAGAAAGGATGGTTGATCTGATTAACTGATTTTTTTCTTCATGCCTGTTCAAGTTAATGCTTCGATTTCACAACATCTTTAACAAAACTAGATTGAATAACATGATGAAAGAGAAAGACTTTCACTCTTTAAAAGAAACATCTGGCACTCTCTGTTTTGGTTTTACTGACTGATTAGAAGGCTGCCTTCCTTCAGCAGTCACGTGAACTTGCATGTTTATTGTGACGTCGTAGGAAGGCTACAAAGGAAACCATGTTGTTTTATCCTAAATATTGATATAATTTAATTTTATCCTATATTCTGGTACAGTACGCTTCTCTAAATCGTATTCCTTTAATCAGTGCACTCACTGTGACTGTGATCTCTGGGCTGCTGCAGGGCTCAGAACTGGCCGGCTGGGCTGAGGGACGGTACAGCTTCGAAGGGATTGACCTGAATCATAACTTTCCAGACCTGAACAACATCATGTGGGATGCTCAAGAGAAGGCAGCAGAGCCATCCAAAGTCTCCAACCACTACATCCCCATCCCAGAGTACTACACTAAAGAAGATGCCATGGTAAGGACATGCAGTGTTTTTGTCTAACTATCAATAGGCACTGCTGAGCACGTTTAGGAAACAGATCCATTGTGTGTAGGAAGTGAAAAATTCCTTACTTATTAAGTACTTTTTTACTTTGTTGCCATCTGGTGGTATCATTAAGAATGATGTAGCACACAGAAGTGCATGTCAGTACAAATGCCATTATCACAAAAATCAACAATTAACGTTCCTCTATAAAACAAAAAAAATGGAACTTTGATGTCAGATTTCACTGTTTGACAAAGAGTAATATACTGGTGCAGCCAAGAAAAGTCATTAATTTGTATACTGTATAGATTCCAGAGAAGATATTTGAATAAAATCAGACATCTTTACAGAAGCGACAACCTTTGCTAGCCCTACTTAAAGAAAGGGTGATATGTAATAGTGCGTGGACACTTTAAGAAGAAGGAAAAATTATGTTTCCCTTTCAGTGGCATGCAAAGCCTCAGATCAGGAAACATCCAGAGCCAAGAAAAGTGCAGTTTTCCTGGAATCCTCAGCACTGTCAGGCAATGTTAGGGTACTGTTCCTCTCCAGAAGATTAAAACATGTATAAAAAAAAAGATGAGCAAGCATTTACAACATTTACTTTAAAAGTGTTGACTGATGTGTTGCAGCTGTGTTTCAAGTTGTTTTTAAAATCCACATTTATGAATGAAATCCACTCCTAAGACAAGTCCACATCATGACAAAGACAGTACTTATGTGTTCATGAGTATTTGTTTAGCTGCATGAAACAAAAATTTAACGTGTTCAGTAGAGTACTGTGTATTCACCTCAAAACTGTACTTAAGTATAATATTGAAATACTTGAATTCTTCATGCATCTACTCAGCTACATTTCAGGGAAAATATACTACTTTTGATTTCACTACATTTATTTGACAGGTGGAGTTACTGGTTACTTTTCACAGTCAAACTCTATATGAAAAGATACAGGCTTATACGATGCAGATTAACCTACTGTAGGTGTAAACGTCCACAAAGCAGTCGCTACAGTCTTCCTGTGGTCCACAAACCAACATTTAAAAATCTCGGTAGTCAATAAAACAATCATATCATAACAATCAAAAGTGTGATAAGGTGTTGAAAGGCAACATTTTGAGAATACATCATGTAAAGTGACATTCTGTGGCATTAAATGGACCGTTTACTCTTTTTAAAAACCATTTTACTTGTAAGATGGAAAACATTCCATGTTTTTATTCTGCTGTACACAACAGACTTCTCAAATGTAGGCCACTAAACTACCAAACCAGCACCTCCTCAAACAGCCACAACAGTAAAGTTCTACTTACACAGCGATCCAACAATCTAATGACCACTTTTCTGCAGAGTAGGCTATTTTTGATTCTTTTAACCATTTTTGCCAATAATCAGTGGTGGAAGAAGTACTCAGATCCTTAAGTAAAAGTAACAACACAGTGTAAAAATACTCTGTTAGAAGTAAAAGTCCTGCATTCAAAATGCTACTTAAGTAAAAGTACAAAAGTATTAGCATCAAAACATACTTAAAGTACTAAAAGTAAAAGTACTCATGCAGAATGGCACATTTTCACATTCCTCTATATCATATTACTGTACTATAATTACATCACATTTAATGTTGCAGCTGGTAAAGGGGGAGCTAGTTTTAAATAGCTTAAATGCTTACAATCTGAAGTACTGCTGGGCAGCTTGTAAATTTCCCACCAGGGGTCAATAAAGTCTTATACTGTATATGTATACTCATACTGAATTTTTTGTATTAATCTGGTTCTGAAAAGTAACTCAAGTTTTTAATAAATGTAGCAGAGTAAAAAGTACATTATTTGTCTCTGAAATGTAGTAAAGTAGAAGTATGAAGTAGTACAAAATGGCAATAGTACAGATACCTCAAAATTGTGCTTTAGTACAGTACTTGATTAAATGTACTTAGTTACTTTCCACCACTGCCAATAATATTACTGCACTTTTACTTGAATAGTTATCTGAATACTTGTGATTTCATATTTTTTACATGAATGTATTTTTGCCACTACTGCCCAGGTTGCGCCAGAGACCCGTGCTGTCATCAGCTGGATGCAGGACATTCCCTTTGTGCTCAGTGCGAACCTCCACGGTGGAGAACTGGTGGTTACATATCCCTTTGACTGCACCCGAGACTGGGCCCCTCAGGAAAACACCCCCACAGTAGACGACGCGTTCTTCCGCTGGCTGGCCACCGTCTACGCCTCGACCCACCTGGTGATGGCCAATCCCGACCGGCGCCTCTGCCACTACGAGGACTTCCAGTTACACAACAACATCATCAACGGAGGAGCCTGGCACACCGTCCCAGGCAGTGGGTCCCCACACAGAAAGCAGTTAAAATGATTAAAGCCATCTGAATAGATTTAGTTCAGAAATGCTGTGTGTAGAGCTCTTGAAAGGGCATAGTATAGGGGGTATAGCTGAAAGACACCATGTCTCGTCCCATTGTCACTGGATTTATCAGTAAAAGTTTATATAATGCACCTTTAAAGTTTACATGTCCTGAAACAAACCCTACCCCACAATCTAACTGAAACTTGCTTCTCTTTCTTTAACATGCACTGACTGTGTACTTGACTGTTCTGCAGGTATGAACGACTTCAGTTACCTGCACACCAACTGCTTTGAGGTGACCGTGGAGCTGTCCTGTGATAAGTTCCCTCATGCCAGTGAGCTTCCCATCGAGTGGGAGAACAACAAGGAGTCTCTGCTGGTTTACATGGAGCAGGTGAGTCTGAGCCTGCAGTACCACCTGTCTGTCTGTAGAAAACCACAAATTGTAGGTCATACTGGTTTTAATATTATCAAACATGTTTTTTTTTCTGACAGTGCAGCATTTGCTTTTCACTCAGGTTCACAGAGGGATTAAAGGTGTGGTGAGGGACAAGCTGACCAAACAAGGAATAGCAGATGCTGTGATCAAGGTGGAGGACCACAACCATGACACCCGATCAGGTCTTCCTAATGTTCACCATCTTTCTAATCTGAACAGTTTGGAGTATAGATTTCATATTTGTGAGGTGGGACATGATCATCATAGGTGAATGGCTCAGCTTAGATGTTTTTAGTGTTTCTCCGCTCCCTTTAGCGGTTTCTTGCTATAATAGTTCATTTCCTCCTACACTTGGGAGTACAGTCATTAAAGTGTCGATGGCAATGGTGAGATTATAGACCTGCAGTAGAGTTTGATATCTGCACAGAGTTAAACAAAAAAAATGTTCAGAATGACAATTTGTTTCCTTAAAACAACAAAGCAAACAAACTCACCATGAAAGGAAGGAAGAAGACAGTGTTAAATTTAGTATTTTGTGCTGGGTGTGATTCATAATAATTCAAAATAATTAAATGTGATGAACATGATGTTCTGAAGGTGCATGAACCACAAAACCTTGACAGAAACATAATTTGAGCGTCTGTTTAAATTTCAGCTGTGAAGCCAACAAAGTTCATTTTTGTTTTTGTCTCCACTTGCTGTAGCTGCTGACGGGGACTACTGGCGTCTTCTGAACCCCGGTGAGTACAAAGTGGTGGTTTGGGCCGAGGGTTACTTCCCAGCTATGCGTCGGTGCAACGTTGGAATGGAGCCACATCCCACCATCTGTGACTTCACCCTCACCAAAACACCCATTCAGAGGCTGAAGGAGATCCGAGCCAAAGGAGGGAAGGTCCCGCAGGACCTTCAGCTGCGACTCCATGCCCTGAGGCTCCGCAAGCTTCGTGCCAGCACCAAGGCCATCAGGAGAATCAGCGGCTGCAGCAGGAGCAGCTGCTGCATACAAGGAGAGCTCGGTCCTCCAGAGCGCGGAGAGCATGAGAGGACAGGGGTCGACGAGCTGACGAAGTCTGAGTCGGTGTTCTGCCAAGCTGTGCCACCTTAGTAACAGAGTCTATGAACTCACTAACCCCACCCCCATCCATCACCCTAACCACTTTGTGAGTCGTAGGCAGCACGTCTCATTAGGTAGCATAATTTGACAGAGTACCGGATCTGGATAGAGGGTTGAAAAAGTCCGGAATGAAAAAAAAAAAAAACATCTGGGAAAAGTGATGTTTCTAGTGTCAGTGAGAGGACACTGTTAAAGGCCCAGTTCACCCAATTCATGAAAACATATTTTCCCACAAACTGCCAGAGATAAAGACATGCAGTTTTAAGTTCTGAATTTTCAATTTCCACCAAAATGGTGATAATAGCTCTAAAATGTTACATTGACAAACTTCAACTGTGTTTTGTTTGGGTGTCTGGCCCTCTAAGGCAGGTTACCCTGAGACACTCATAAACTAGAAAACAATTAAAAACAGGGTTTTTATACAAAAAAGTGGACACAAACTGAAAAATATAAAATCCATAATAACTTGTGCTAAGTTACACAACCAAGTTACGAAAGTATTTGACAGGTAAATGACATCTACACATTGGCAGACAAGTGTCCCTGAATGAAAGTTCAAAGTCACTGAACTGGTTCTTGTTTTGTAAATGAACTGTTTAGTTCCTCGTTATAGCTGATGATGCTGTAGCGTTTGATAATGTTCTGTAAAAAGTTGAGGACTGAAGTGTCAGCTGGTCTGATAAGGGTTTGTTTTGTTTTTTGTTTGAGTGAAATCCAACAAGACCATAAAATCTCAAATAAATATTCATTAATTTGTCAACATCACTTTTTGGTTAAACTGCTCACTCATGTCCAGCTTTGAACAATCAGTGAGAAAGTGTGAGAAGAAATCCCCGTGTGGTTATAAACACTGAGAAGCGGTGTACACCAGCGGTTCATACTGCAAACCGAAGCTACCCTATGGCTACTGGTGACAGGCTGTGACCAGTTCAAGCACCGTGATGTTTCTTCCTCAGAACCTCTGGTTGATGAGTTTAACTGTCATCTAGTGGTAATTTCTCAGCACTTCACATGTAAACCTTTGAGACTGGGAACCTAAAAATACTCAACTCAGACACAGAACAGTCAGCAATACAAAAGAAGCTAACCTTTTATTCAGTGCCAAGTACCATTTTAGTTTCGTTGTTCCTGCTGTGTATAATAGCTATGTCAGAAATAACAGTGCGAGCAATTAAACATCTCTTGTCCACCCCTCCTCCAGCCGCAAGATGGCGTGCACGTTACAGAACTACGGAGAACATTCCATTAACCCACAGCAAATTACAGGTTAAACACCAGAAGAGGACTGACAACAAACAAACAAATTTAAAAATTATCCCAGTTGCTATACCTGAAGTGAAATGGCAGAGAAGACGCTTCTCTCTGAAGAACTCACGAATACAAGTGAAATAAAAACAAGGAATACATGGCACGGCAGGTTCTTTTACCTTGAGCTCAGTCAATTTTTTCAAAAATGGAACTAATAATAAATTCTCAATGCATGTGACTAGAAAAAGTGGTTATTCCAAGAGAAGAAACAAGTCCCTGTACTGACAGAGCTCAAAGTGAAATCAACCCCCTTTTGTGACGCCTGAACCACACACAGTTATCTGAGGTACAAACTGTTAAACGCATCCTTCCTCATTACACAGGACCATGCCGTGATCTGGGAATTATTAAGTAACATCTGCGTTTACCTGAATGCAGCTTAAATGAGAGGGAGCTGGCTACACACTGTCAACTTCTCCCAGATACTGACTATGCCTAGGGTTAACGGTAACAGTAAACCTACCCCCAACCAAGGTCGACAGTCCGCTATCTTGTCTGCAACCAGGTTCTCTTGGCACAGACAGCTAACATGAAGCTCCCGTGTGTGGCTGCTTAGCTCAGCTAAACCACTGATGTATCCTAGAGCTGAACACGTCCATGAGCTAAACACAAGGGAAACGGCGAAACTGGCTCCATTTAACTGCAGAAAAGTCCACCCATCAGCATATATATTTAAAAAAAGCAGTATTTAACACATTATATCTCTTTTTCTCAGTCACAGAAAAACTGAAGTGTAAAAACCAACATGCCACCGTTTTCTAGGAGTGACAGACTAGTTCCTGGCTTTAAACAGTTGTGAGGCAACCAGCTGTCAGTCCAGGAAAGTTACTGATCCCAGCCAAGAAATAGTCTGGCCCAAAGCGGCAAATTTGATTTTACACTAGAAGAAGAAAATAAATGTATTTCATTTGTACTTGTGTATGTATTTCCTAAAATGTCAAATGATTCCTTTAAAAACGTACCTTTTCCACATGTAAAGAATTTTTAAAATTCACAACAGCAGATGTTTTCCTTCAATTCTCAACTCACAGTTTATTCCAGAAGAAAAGCACCGCCTTGTCCAAGCAACACACATTTTGGCATCTGACAGCTCGACACAGAGCTTCACACTCTCATAAATAAGAAAGGAGAATCGTCATAAAGGCTGGTATGCATAGTAGTATACACTTATGTCTTTTGTTTACGTTAACAGCACGTTATCTATTCTCCAGTCAGTCGGCATGTATAGTACTGTTACTGCGTTACATTAAGGTCTAACACCCGATGTGTTTGGCTCTCACAGCAGCTATACTACAATGGTTGCAAACAGAAAAGCACCTGCAGCGTTAAAACAGCCCAAGCAATCCATCCACAGCTTAGAGGGGAAATGAGAATCATGGTTGGTGTGCTTCATGACTGTTAAACTGAGACACTGGAAGTGATGAGAATTCCACTGATTCTCCTCTAGTGTACCTGTTTCTAAAAATAAATAAAAATCAAACACTGACGTGGATCAACACTCCAAAAACCAACAAAACCAGGTACAAGGTCACAAAACAAGTCAACATCTTTGCCCAAAATTCCATCGCAAAAAGTCAAAACACCACTGATAGAAAGGATGAGACTGGCAATGTTCCACATTTTTCTGATAGTCACATCCCATGAAATACTAAAATTAACAGTGGATTGCTACGACTAACAGGTATCATGTGTGTGGCCAAATACTGATGCCACAGAGCACCACTGCTGTAAAAAAATAAAATAAAATAAATAAAAACACGAGTGAGCCCCTCCATTGCACTGACTGCCATCTTCCTTCATTACTATGAACATGGGCACTGTACTTTGACTCAATCTGACATATACCAAAGCATCAAATGTGTATTAATCCACCTTTAAAAGTCATCTCCACTTTACTGTTTAATGCCAGCCTCATCATTTAGAGAACAATCATCCAATTACTCTTTTCCATTAATCATTTTGCAATACTGGAAATTGTCAGGGTGGGATACATTGAAAACTGAGGTACTGACAGCAGCCGGACTTTTCCGGTGCCCAGGCAGCATGAGGTTGTTGTTTACAGGCTAAAGATAAAAACAAAAGCAAAGTAGTCGAGGGAAATGAGAAGTGAACTTGGCCTAAATGATGCAAAAAGCGAGCATGGAATCAACTAAAAGAAACGCTGTGCTAGCAGCAGTGCCAGCGCCAACACACACACAAAAAACAGTCAGTGTCTTCGGAGACAATAGAGGTGGAAACACGGTGGAGACGGTAGGGGAAAAAAAGTGACAGCTAAGAAGTGGAGACGCCACCCTCCACGAGCGAGTAGAAAAGCGCTGGCGAAGGACGGAGTGAAAGTTCAGATTGTATGAGCAGAGAAGCAGCACCTGTGGAAGAAGGCATGAGCGGAGTGACACGACCTGGAGCGGAGGACGCCTCATGACGACAGTCAATGACAAAGCAGGTGGCAAACACGAGCGCCCGTCTCATTTTCATGGATTAATGTCTGTCTGTTTGCATCCTTAGTGTTTTTGTCCCAAGAGAGCAACATCTGGATCTGCTTAATCTCAAAGTCAGTTAGAGTTTTCTGTTATATAGAGCAAAATTCATCCTTACTATGAACTTCTTCTTGAAGAAGGCGCGTGCACTGCTGCAGCCTGGTCAGGGGGCCTTTATATGTTACTCCCAGCTCAGTGACTGCCAAGAGACGACTCCCCCCCAAACAAACTCAGTCTGCTTCACAGCTGCAGACCTGGGTCTAGGAGTGCCCAGTATATTTTTTTAAGGTTTACTTTATCACTTGCAGGTGCCAGGTGGTGGGGTTTTCATTACAGATTGTCTAGCACAGGGTTCAGAACAATCACTATGTTCAGACGTGTTCTAAAGTCGACTTAAGCCTCCAAGCACAGTGAGATTTACACAATGTGTCCCACTATATGAACTATCTGCCTGTAATGAAAGCGACCCATCTGGTCCAACGAGCACTTTAAAACAAATGCTATGGTTATAACATTTAAAAAAAAAAACTAAAAATGTAATTTCCTTTGATGGTTTTGATATATTTTATACCAAATGATACTAAGGAGGCCATGTCACTAGTTTTGGATGAATTAAACCTGCATATATTAGAAGACAAGGCCCTAAAATCAAAAATACGTAGTTCTATGAACAACATACGGAAGCTGAGCAAAATTTTTTACAGAATTTTCTGTACTACTATCAAACCAGTCGAACCTGGAAACCACTAAATGCTCCTTCACTAACTTCCTAGACTTTCCAGGTTTGTGCAGGAAACCTTGTAAGAACTTCCCTACCCAGGTCTGCAGGGCATCATTCTCTGACACTGGATGCTAAAACTTGGGCTGGTAAAGGGCCACGCGTCCGCTGAGGCAGCCCGAGGCCAGCTGGCAGTGAGTCGGGGAGAATTTGGTGGTGAGCACCACGTCACTGTGTGAGTAGATGGAGCGGATCTCCCTGAGGGAGCTGGTTTGGACAGGCAGGCAGTCGGCCAGCTCGCCGCAGTGCTCGTTGAATGCCAGCAGGCGGACGCCATAGCCGTAGGGGGAGCAGATGAGCCGCCCGTCCGGGCTGAAGCACAACTCCTTAATGTAGCCCCGGCCCACGTTGGCCTCCTCAATGTAGTGGGTGAGGCGAAGGGAGCAGCGGGGGGAGATGAGCGGGCGAGTGGGCGCTCCTTCCTGGAACTCATACACACACGTCCACTGGGGAGAAAAAAGAGAAAAGATGGAGGAGCATGTAGGTGGTGCAGTCAGTGTCGCACACAAGTATGAATCATGTTGTTGTTGTCACTGGAAAAACACGATGTTGGTCCAGGAACCACAGTGACATCAACCGACTGTCAGCGGGCATTTCCTCGTACCTAGAGGAAGGCACTCTACACAACTGTTAATAAGGTCATTTCTGATTTAAAATAAAAAAGTGTAGTTTTTAGATAGTTTTATTTAGTACATTAAACACGTGAGACATCTACTATCTTTTGAGTTTTGCAAAAGAAACATGCTTCTATTTTTTAAGGTAAAATATCTAATTTTGTTAAAAGACAATGGATCAGTATTTCTGCTTGCTAGGTTTGTGACGACTACCTGCTGTGGCTACTTTCTAAACAAGCTTGTTGGTGTTTATTTTGAAAACAGGAGTTATTTTTTTATGAACGTTACAGGCTCTGGGCGCTACAAGAAGAACAAAACTTTGAGCAAAAGAGGAGAGGCTGTGTCAGGGATGTGTGCAGGTGAACTTCTCTCTCCACTCAAAGGAATCAGTTCCAGCTGGTTTTGCAAAGGAACAAGCAACAAAGGTCAATGTGAAGGCCTACTGAGGGTGAGATTATGATACTCTACAAATGGGTCTTTGGTGCCGTAGGCAATGACAGCACACCAGAGGTCAACAAAGGTCATAAATATCTTCATGGCTCCAGGTGCATAAAAGGTATCTCACTTTCCTTTCAGAGCTATAAAACACGAAGAGGGGACATGCAGCAAGGTGAGCTACAGTAATGTACAACATTTAGGGTAATATGTTAAAAACAGCTTTGGGACAATATGTACATATGCTGCTAAACACTGCCCACCTCCTGGTCGTCCATGTTGCTGGAGCATCGGATGAGTGTGGCCCAGCCTTTTGGATGGAGCTGCAGAGAGGTGATGCAGTTCCCTCTGTCCCTCTCTCCTGGGATCTCTGGAGTCAAAACCTCCAGGCTGTTCCTTGGAGAAAGGCCTGCGACAACCCAGATTGTAGCAGTGTTACAGTCTAGAACCTCAGCACACATCTGTTGTTCAGTTGTATACTTTGAGTGTCTCTCACCTTCTCTATGAGGGTGGACCTTGGCAGAGTCATTCCCCTGGCGAGGAGTTCCAGTCGACCTCGACGCTGATGTGCCTCCATCTGCAGTATCACATCAGGGATAAAAATCACTTTCTTCTACTGGAAACAGCAGAGATGGGACTAATCAATTTAATACTTAATCAATAAGATGTCAGTAAGATAACAGAGGCCGAGGTGATGTCTTAAAACAGCCAACTCCATTTGAACAGAAAAAAACCCCAAAGCATTACAATTAAAATGTCAAACAGAGAAGGTAATCTGAAAATATTCTGTATATTCAACTGATATAAGAACTAAATAGAATCATTCAACCCTTAAGCACCTGATTAATCATGTTTTTATCAACTAGCTGACTAATAAGTCACTTATTTTGGTGCTAAATCAGTGCAAACCGACTAGGAATCAGCACAAACAGTGTCAAGTATAAAATATACACCAAAAGAAGTTTGGGACTTACAGTAAGTAAAAAGCCAAAAAATATCTGGCAATTTTTCCAGTAATAAAATAGGTGCAAACTAATGAAAAGTGATACATGGGCAGATAGTTTTTAACAGCAAATGCAGTGTATGTATGTTTATTTTCTGTGATCAGACCTGAGCTGAGTGGAGTCCGTCGGGCTCGAAGCATGCGGTAGCTGCCCACCTCGAGGGACTGGGTGAGGTCCAGCTCGTGGAGTATGAGCAGGTACCCTGAGGAGGTGGAGATGAGCATCTTGGAACAGTCAGGCGTCAGACGCATCCTCATTAGGTAGCGGGTGTGGAAGAACTTTTTGTGCGGGCAGCCATCCTCTGTGAACCTGCAGGCAGAGGACGAGTGCTAAAGGTTTAATGACTGAGCTACAGGAACTTCAGAACCATCACCTTTGGGTGGTTCTTCAGGAGAGAAAAATTAGGTTTTCAGGGTTGAATTATAGCCACAAAACCCACTTACCCCACCCCCAAGGTTGTAAAGTTGCAGGTTTTATAGATGAAGCAAAGGGGATTGTTAAAAAGTCAGTGATGGATTGGTTGGCGTTTTATGTGCAGCTGCTGCTGCTGCAGCATCAGGGAACCACTAGAGCAGATTTTACTATTTCCGGGCAGTCAAGGTGACTGGATTCTGAAACATCTAATAGGGCACATTTTGTTTTTCACTTTTACATATATCGGTGTTGAAGAAAACTAAAATTAACTGAGCACACTTATGACTCGCAAATTAATTATTCATGTCTTTTATTAAGACAGAAACAACAAACGTTCATTGGTCCCAACTTCTCACATTTGAGCATTTCTAGCTTCACTGTTTAAATTAATATAAACTGAAGCAATCTGCAAACTTCATCTTGGTCTCAGAGAAATTTTAATGGCTATTTTTAATAATGTTGACACCTGTGAGACTCTTCAATTATTTTATTACTCAAAAAACATTGAGTCATGAAAATATTTTATGGCAGCTAACTGGCATCTACACAAAGTCATATATTTATATCTCATCTCACATGCAACAATTTTAAAGCATTTGTTCGACCACACATCATTTCAGAAACATAAATACACACTATTCACAGCACATCCTATCAACAATGCCCACACATCTACACACACAAACCTGTTAGTGTCCCATGTAATGACGTTGCCGTCAAATCCAGACGTGACAAGAAGACGAGTGTTGGTGTCATACTCGATGTTTTTCACCCAGCTGGCGTGGCCGTGCAATGAGCAAACCTTTGAATTCAGCTTACGGAGATCCCATAATGCAATTGTGGTGTCGTCAGAGCAGGTGGCAAACAAACGATTGTCCAAAAACCTGCAGGGCGCAGACAGTCAGGGGAAACGTTTCTCTGCAGACATGAAACTAGACAGCAGCTTGATTCCTGACACGCTTTGATGAATAAAGATGATTTAAAGGATCATGTTGCCATCAGGAATTGTTTTCATGTTTCACCACTTTAAGCTTCAAGTCCCTTGGTCCCTCTCCTGTCTAAGATGCAGCATGCTTCCTTTGTGAACCCTCCCTGGATGATTTAACATTAAGAGAAACACACCTTATGTTGTTGACGCAGTCCTCGTGGGCTTCTGTCAGAGTTTTGATGTGTCTGGATGAGATGGGATCAAACAGCAGGACTTCAGTCTGCTCGCAGGCCACAGTCAGCACAGACCTACGACGAGCACAAACACAAATCAGAGACGCTCAATCACACACAGGAGTGGGGAAACAGTCTGGGCTGCGAGTAACAAACATTTTCAGAAGTGCAAAACACTGTGGGTTCTGAACAAATGAACATACAGTGATTTCTCATCTCTGGTGAAAATGCACTTTCCGTTAAGCTGGTTCGTTGTGCAGCTTTGTCCTGCTCTCACACGAGGACACAAACAGCATTTGACCCAGACTGGACACAGCTTGACCTGGTGTGGTGCAGGATTTATTCCCTATATCTGCCCCTCTACTCACCCAGGCTTGAACCCTGGGTGAGTAGAGGAGCAGATGAACCTGAACCCTGCTAGCTGTGAGTTGCTTTTGCACCAGATTTTGTTCAGACAGAAGTTCAACAGGTTCAAACGGTTTTGTAGTCATATTGTCAAAATGTTTATAGCTAAATATGCCTATCACTCAGAGGGTTTTCCTCAGGCATGTAAAGTCATCCTTGAATCCTACCATGTCCAGAGAGGAAGCATTTGAGGATGATTTTGATGACGTAATTTGAGCCCTTTATTCAATCTTTTTCAAATTCTTTCAGGGCACAGTTTCACATTTTAAATGTGGATGAACTATGGGTGAAAGGCCTAACATGTTGTTACCCGTCTGGGGAGTACTCCAGGTTGAACACTGCTCCGTGGGTCTGAGTGCTCAGGTTGACAGACTCCGCAGCCGGATTCATAGAGCGGTACAAACTGGTCATTGTTCTGAAGTTATCCCTGGCTGGGTCCACAAACACCCCTCGTCGTATAGTCCTGCTCTGCAGCCAGGAAAACAGGCCATTCCTTCTGGCTCGGTCGGGGACGGAGCCCCCCGCGCTCCCACTGCCTCCT